ATTTGCCAGGTGAATTGCAGTTTGTGCTTTGAGGAGATCATTTCTTATAGGTTCTGACTTCCTCAACTCTCTATGAGCTAGGATATCCATTGAGTTATCCAGATTTAACTATGAAATTCCAGCTCTGATTTCTCTTCCCGTAATCCAGGACTTCGCATCACTGAGGAAGGAACAGAAGTTAGTTCAATGCGTGCCAACACATCCTGAATATTTACCTTCCACTATTTAATTTTAGTACTGCAATGCTTTTGCTTCCTTCTGAGCGAAGGAAAATGTTTTTTACTTGCAGCTTATATGGTGAGTGCAGCAGGGTTAATTCAATGCTTTGCCAACACATTCTCAGTTTATGTAAGGTGTAACGCAGTATGTGTCCTTTCTAAGCCTTGCAGCTTACAAGGTGTTTTTGTGCCAGAGCCATTAGAAGTTGAATAATACAATTTCTTTATTGATATCAGCTAAAGCTGGGATTTATCATTTCCTGGAAAAAACAAGTTTGGTGCACCCATTTCAATACTTGCAATGGAATGGTTGTTTATGAAATCTGTCATGTTGTTTGTTACGTTGCTTTCCTTTTATTAGAGCCCACTAATCAGCCATGAAGTAATTTATTTACTATGAAATTTTATTGTTGCCAACAAGTTTATATGCGTCCACATGCCGGATTCTCAATGCTTTGAAAATTTTTAGGTCTGAATATGCTTCGCTTCAGTATTTTCTCAACTTGCTTTCCCCGTGCTTGGTTTTTCCAACCATTTCCTTCTCTGCAGTTTATATTGCCAGGGAAACCATTCTCAGACAGGGGGAAGAAGGTGAAGGTTGTTGACCTTTGGATTTAGTAATGGCAAGAAGCTTGTTGGTGTGTGGTGTCGCCATTCTCTTTCTGGTACTAGTAGTTATATAGTATGAGAGACTACTGAGTTATAGGTACTTGTCTTTGTAATTTGAGCATGTATTGCTCAAGAGCTTGAAAGGCTTGTCTGCTGGACTTGAGAAACAGCACCTAGAAGAATTTATGGCTACACTAGAGATAGTTCAGAACTTAAGTCTGTGCTGAAAGATTGGAGATGTTTTGTTCTCTTGACTGAATATTTGAATCATTGCAGTGAAGCCGTAGTGGTCTTCCTCTGCTGAATCCATATTGTTTAGCTTTCTGTATGAAAGCTTATGTCTCTGTACGAAAAGATTTTAAAGTTTGATGCATCCTAGTATTAATGTATTGCTCTCATTGTTAATGTGCTAATTTGATATTAATTGAAGGGTTGCATGGATACCTTGGTTTTGAGGCATTTTCTAATAACGCCTCCATCAATGTTTGAAGGCAAATTATGAAGTGCCTCTAAAAAGTATTCTAGGCAACCCAGAAAATGCCTTTAAATGTTGATATTAAAGGCATTCTGAAAAAACGTCTTAAAAGATCTTTTTACTTCCATGTTTTGGCGAGGTTTTCATAAATGTCTCCAAGGGTCTTTGATGGCGTTTTGATCATTTTGAGCATTTGTAAGCGTCTTGTATAAGAGTCATGTTGTAGTGCCTTAGCCAGAGAGACATCAGAATATATATAATATGACTCAGACAACTTTTGCTTAGCTAGCTAGCTACATTGTTAGGCAGCTACAGTCAAGAGGAAGCATTTGACTAATGCGTAACAAATGGTATTCTAACCGGTTCTGCCTGAAAGCGGATGGACTACGAGTTTCAGAAGAACAAGATCGAGCGTTGAAATTCGTTAGGGTGTCATGTGTGTGGCCGGCCAGAACCCACGATGATGGTTAATTGCTAGGGGCAAGCTAGGGTGTGTGTGTGGACCGAACATTATTAGGCCATATCAACCGTCTTCAGTAGTACACGTTCAGGCAACAATTGTACCAGCACTGCAATTACTTGCAAAGATTGTTTTCAATGTTTAATAATGTTTCTTCCTTTTCTTCCTGATGATAAATATATAGTACAGTAGTACCGAGCTAGTCTGCATTCATGCCACTTTTCCGGGTTAATTACAACAATCGTCCTGTTCGCTTTAGTTTGTTTGGTGATAATAGCGGCGGTAAAAAATATTGGCTGATTTGGTGTGAGAAAAAAAATCTTATTTGTTGGTGAAAATCTGACTTATAAGCGAAAATACCTAAAGCGAAACAGGGAATGGCGACAAGCTTTTCGGTCTTGACACTGTATACCATCATGGAAAAAAAAACCACTAAGGCCTTGTTTAGATGAAATCCGAATTAGAAGTTTTTCATTCTCTTCGTCCACATCAATTTTAATTTAACTTGCATGGAGTATTAAATATAGGTAAAAAAAATAGCTAATTATACTGTTTTGGTTGGAAATCGCGAGATGAATCTTTTGGCTGTAGTTGGTCATGATTGGATGATATTTGATAAATAAAGGCGAAAATGAATACTGATAAATCCGGGTTGAAAAAAAAATTTGCAAAGTGAACGAGGCCTAACTAATACTACTGCTCGATCCTCACTGATCCAACATTACATTCCAACAGTATACAGATCCTATGTATTAAAATCGTTTCTACAGCATGAAAATATCAGTGACCAGTGAGCTAATGCTACCTGGACAAATGAAATGATGAAGATGAGCTTTCAGTTGGGAGGCAAGGCAGGCAGCAAAATGCCGTTAGCATTCATACTGAGCTGATCCATTCCCAGAACACATCTCTGCAGGTCCAGGTGGGCCGACAGGGAACCAGTAGTCCCTCCTGGCCCATCACGTGCACACATTCACATTCACATCTCCTTTTTTTTAATCGAGACAACCTCGGAATTGCTAGCATTTCCGCGACGGAGATGCCGCAGGGAGGCTTGGTGATGCCGTATCATATTTATTAATTCTCACCCAAGACAGGGATCATTCTAGAAATGTCTCCACTCATTCTAGAAATGTCTTTGTCCATACAAGGTTGATGGTCCAAGCCCAAAGCAAAATTCCAAAATCAAAAAAATATAATAAAATACTGGAGTAACTCCCAAAAGATTTTTTGCTTTTTAAAAAATCGTCGAAGACATTGCACAAATTTCCAAATCTCCCTATATAAGAGGACACAGCTAGGTGGGTGATTACAAAAAGCCATTCCATCATTCATTCAAGTGAAGCAGCCAGCACTCTCCACCGTGACTCCGTGAGCTTGCTTGCCCGCTGCACTGCACACTCCCACACAGCCGCACCAGCTCAGCAATCATGGCTCGCCTAGGCCTACTCCTCCTCGCTGCCGCTGCAGCGCGCGTTCCTGGCCGTCGCGGCCGCGTCGCCGGTAGCCAGCGACTTCATCCGCAGGTCGTGCCGCGCGACCTGGTACCCGTCGGTGTGCGAGCAGAGCCTGGCGTCGTACAGGGGCTCCCCGCCTCCCGCGGAGCCCGCGGGAGCTGGCGCGCGCCGCGCTGTCGGTGAGCGCGGACCGCGCGCGCGCCGCGTCCGCGTATGTGGGCCGCCTGTGCGGTGGATCCGGCGCCGGCGCGAAGGGCGCGAAGAAGGGGTCTGGGTCGCGGCCGGCGGCGGCGGCGGGCCCCGTGCGCGACTGCCTGGAGAACCTGGCGGACAGCGTGGGCCACCTCCGAGGACGCGGCGCAGGAGATGGGCGGCGCCGGGATATCCCGCTCCAGGACGCCCGCGTTCAAGTGGCACCTCAGCAACGTGCAGACCTGGTGCAGCGCCGCGCTCACCGACGAGAACACCTGCCTCGACGGCCTCTCCTCCCGCGGCGTCGACGCCGCCACGCGCGCCGCCATCCGAGGCAAGGTCGTCGAGGTCGCGCAGGTCACCAGCAACGCGCTCGCACTCGTCAACAAGGTCGGGCCTGGGTACTAGCCCAAGACCCAGGCCCAGGCTCAGTTCAGATACCACCCGCTACCGGCCCTGTTCGCCTGTGTTATCAGTCCTACTATTTCAACGAATAAACAGTATTTTCTTTCTCAAATCAGCGAAAAGCACCTTCAGGCATAGCTCAGCAAAGCGAAGAGGGCCACCGGCTCCACGATGTTGGATGTCGTCAGTCAGTTAACTAGTTCAGTTTTCCATGTTTTTTTCTCTACTGCTACTTCCTGCATATATATGCTTTGCTTGTGGTGTGTACTTGTGTAAAGATATAGTTAAGGTCGATAAGCTTGTAGTATGGGTGACGAGAAGTACACTAAGACGTATGTACTCCTCTGTCCGATCCTGTCACAGCAAATAAGCTAAGTGTCATCATTAACACTGATATGGTGTAGACAATATAAATTCGTTTGTCCATTGTGGGGGTGAAACTTACTTGTTCACTGAACAATGTTTTTGCTAATGCTTGATGCCTGCCTTAGATGGATTATATTGTTTGTATAGGATCCTTTTCACACGGATATTATTAAGATAGATGGAAGGTGTGGTCGCGTGAAAGGCGGCGTGCAATCCCGTCAGCGCCACGACCCACTGGCGAAACTCTACAGCGCTGCAGTGGTCTCCTCCTCCCCCCCTCTCCCGGCGCCATGGTCATTCTTAGCCTGGCCTGGCCGCCTCGGCTCTTTGGCTGCCTGCCTCCCAAAACATTTTCTAATGCCCATAGGAGATGGGGAAGAAGAAAGGGAGAGTGTGGGAGGCGAAGGCGCGATGCGATGGGCGGCGAGTTGCTGGATAGAGTTTGCAAAGGAGACAATATTTAGTTTTATTATATTAGGTAAGGATAAATGAAGACAAAGGACTCTAGCCTTTTTAGATATACAAAAGCAAAATGTCACCATAAGAATAAGTGGAGAATTAATAGTTCCTTTTTTGTTACACATTTCCTATACTACGGTTTTGAAAGTGAAGATGAACTAACAAAAAAAAAAAGAAGGTATTCGATCTTAAGAATGAGGATGACTCTTGATCATTGATATAGATTAGTGGGACGATGTTCATCGCTTTGAGAAGAAAGTAAAATCGGTGATGCAGTGATTTAGCAACTCTCATTTGTTCACGGTGACAAAAGAACCCTTCCTTTCCAATTTCTTACGGTAAAAGATTTATTCGTCACTAAGATGGCGCATCTCTTTGTGTTGAAAATTCAAGTTTGGAAGAATCGAACCACCTTGGTGATTGAGTGCATGACTACATTGCCGATTGTGTGCTTGACCAAATCTCATCAGCTCCCACCCAACCAAGGCAGTAGAATTTGCACCGTGGAATTCAAAATCAAACGAAATTTCAAAATCTTACTACTATTAGCCCCCTATAGGAAGAAAATTGAGCTTTCCGACTCTGGCTGAGGAGCCGAGAAGATGGCACTTGTTCATTTTGTGAATTCAAGCTCGTGTTGCCTAGCCGACCGGAAGGAAGGCAAGCGATAGTGATGGCTGAACAACGTTGGCAAGCTAAGCTACAGTGCGAGAGGCGTGCAGCTCATTTAAACGTGATCGTCGCGGCGCCGTCCACCATTCCACGAGTGCAAAGCAAAGGCACGTTCGTTGGTTATGGCCTACCACGAGTGTCTTGTTCTGCAGCCGATGCGTGCGATTGCATCTCGTTTTAAAAAGCAGAGGCGCAGGCAGCGTTTGGGCAGGCAGAGGCGTCGTGCACTTATTGAAGGACCCCAGTTGCCAACAAATTTGTGGTGACCTGTCAGTCTTACGTGGCCACATGGCCTTGGACCCGCACAGGGCATGCATGCAAGGGCGGTGTCAGACTGTCAGTCAAATAGTGGACTGTCATCGAATATTTGGCGTATCGTGGATATTAAATATAGATTAATTATGAAACTAATTGTATAGTTTACAATTAATTTGCGTGGTGAATCTTTTAAAAGCCTAATTGGTCCACTGATTTGTCAATATGGTGATCTGAGTAAACATCGCTAATAGCGGATTAATTTGACTTAAAAATTAAATCTCGTGAAATCTTGATGGATTATATAATTTGTTTTTTTATTAGTATCAAAACACCACATCTGACATCCTCCAAAACACACCTCCTAAATTTTAGTCAACTGGATCCAAACACTTGAAGTCCTTGTTTAGTTCATTCCCCTAAAATTTACTCACTACACATGCATAAGTGTTAAATATAGACTAAAAATAATTAATTACAGGTTTACGACTAATTCTGAGACAAATCTTTTAAGCCTAATTAGTTCATGATTTGACAATGTGGTGCTATAATAAGCATATGCTAATGATAGATTAATTGAACAATAAATTAATCTCGTGAATTCTTGACAGATTCTATAATTTATTTTTTTATTAGTATCCGAACACCTATGTGATACCTAAAAATTTTACACCTGGATTTAAAGGGCCCTACTTACTTGACAGTCCACTCGAAGGTTTAATCTGAATTGACTTTAAGATTCATGCTTGAGAATTGGACGGTCGAGAAATCTCTCTTATACAGTGATTCTTCTTCCTGGATCCTAGATACCTGCCTCATTTGCGTAACCGCACTCTCGCATACGACTTCCACCATGGGTTGGGTTGTGTCACGTGTCCAAGAGACAAATCCTAGATGGTGTGAATTTGTCAAATCATGAATGAGTACTCTAAGATGCAAATCAATGGCACATGGACCATGTTCTGGACCAATTTTGTTCGGTGGCCATGATGTAATTGGTTATATTGGGAAAAAAAGGGGCGAACTCAAAAGAACTTTAACATAGGGGCCGTTAGGTGGCGCTCCGGGACGGGCTCAGGGCTGCTCTCGACTCCTGGCACGCTAAGCGGGTGTGAGGACATCGGCTCCATAGGAGAAGTCCGAGAAGTGCTTTGAGGCGAGGCGAAGATGGGAGATGGGCAGAAAAATCGAGGCTTCCCTCGGCTCCTGTTAGATCGTGGGCCCTAGGCAGAGGTTGCCCTCGGCGTGACACGAGAAACCTTGTGACCACGACCGTCAGGCGTCTGGCGAGGGGTGGGTAGGAGGCTGGAGGGAGGCGAGGCCGTGGGGAGGCGGGGCCGCAGGGGATCTTTCGGGGAGGCCGTTAAGTCATGCGCTGAGGCCATCCAGGAAGTCGTGAAAGGCTGGGGGTGGGCGCGTGGGGTCGTCGAGGCGCCCGCTAGCTATTTCTTTGGTCATGAAATTTGCACGAGCCACGAGCCACCGAGTCGTTGTGTCCATGGGTGTGACCAGCATAGGATGTCGAGTGATGGCGCACTTCTGGCGGTGATGGCGATGGAATTGGGAAGGAGAAGTCTTGCGTGATGAGGAGATAAGGTTGAAGGAGATCACGGTCATGCGAGATCACGGTGGGGCTGCGTATGGCTATAGCGGTGTGGGGACGAATAACGTTGGAAAAGAAAAGAAAAAGAAAAAGAAAGAAAAGAGGGGTATTATGGACATTTCGTTATTTTAGACTATGGTGGCTTGTTTTGCTTAAGCGGTCTAAAAACCGATTCGACTCCTGGTGAATCTGCTCCACAAGTGAAAGCCATAAGCTGAAGTTGTTTTGGTTGAAAGCAGGAGCTCTACCAAAGCAGACCCCATAGTGTTTGCTACTCAGCGAGAAGAAGTGAAAAGCAGAGAGCCTTGACTTAGATTTGATCATGAAACACCCAAGTCGACCAATGCATCAAGTGAAAGCCAGGCCCATACTTTGCCGACCCATAACCCAACCCAACATATTATATATATTATATATATAAAAAAAAATAACCTAACTTTGATGTGTTGGTTACGGTGGGTGTGGGCCAAAAGTTCAACCAAACATTTCTCCCGGCCCTAACTTGAATCCGCTCGACTTCGACATTTGATCAAGTCTAAGTCTAACTTACCTCTTATATTTGTGTAATTTAATTTGTCGATGACCCACATGTTGTGCATATGACCTTGAGATGAGATGGTGGTGACATTTCTTCTCCCATATTATCAACAACTTGCATATGCCACTACCTTTCACTACGTCATGTTAAGCTTGTTGGTTTCGGCCGGGGCTTATCGGCCCGACCAACAATGTTTTATCTCACAACAAACCGGCACCAGTAGACTTATATTGAAGCTTGACCGTGAGCAGGCTATAAGAAAGAAGCGGAACACTTTGGTGGCGCACCCGACTATAAATGGCTAAGCGTACGCATCATAGTGTTGTGAACCTTTGTCGTGTTCCTTTACGTGTTGAGTCTTTGATTGCTCATGACCGTAAGACAATGAGTTCCATTTAATATAGCTTTCTCTTGATTACGCAAAAAAGGGGGAGAGGGGCGGAAACCTCACCTAAGGCCTTGTTTGGATGCATGTGTATTCACTTTAATCCACATGTGCTGGAGTGAAATACAATGGAATTTATTTCAATTACATTTCAATCTACTTCAACACATGTGGATTTAGATGAATACATGCACATCAAACAAAGCCTAATAAATATTAAGCAAAAGATATCAAAATAGTTAACGGATGACAACTGACATACCATGGTGAGATCACAATAGAGGGCAAGAAAAAAACTAAAAACTAGAGTTACACAACGAACCGAAGGGGTTTTGATTAAAAATTTAAAATAACAACCAAAGCCTATGTAAAAATCAAAGCCCCAATCACCTTGATGCTTAAATTCTTCTACAAAAGCAATCTAAGAAGTCAAGTAGATCTATCACACCTAATCAAGTTATTAGCAAAATTCACACTAAGGTGTAGGTCTGACGAAAGCAAGAAGTAAATCTATGGTAAAGACTACCACCACACAATCCTAGTTATCACTCAAGAGAACTTGCTTGCAGAAACAAAGCAAGGCAAGAAGTAATGCAAGATTAGAAGAGAGGTAAAGAGGCGACCCAATTTTTTTTTTGTGGTACTAGCTTGTTGCCACAACCACCTAGTCTGTATTGGAGCACCAAAGAGTCCAGGGACTCAATTATATGCTCGCTTCTCCTCTA